TGTTGATTGTAAAGTTTTCGGTTAGCTAGAAAACCGAGTGTCAGGTGTAAACGTTATTCAGGTGAACGTAGAAAACCCGGTTGATAGTGGATTTCTCCCCGGGAGTGGGGAGCGGAGACGTATTATTCATGTTGCTTATCCTAGCTTATATTCTTGTTGTATTTCATACTTGCTAGGATAACTTGTTTATTAATTTTAATTGGCATTTAATCGGATTAGATTAGCATAAGACCCTAATCACCCCCCATCTAGGGTCTAACATACACTTGGTGCATTACCTTAGTTGTTCCGTTAACATGATACAACATAATTATTGGGACAAAGAATCAGACCCCCTCCCCCTAATTTCTTCGAATACAAGGACAAAGAAGGTCGCGGGAGTTTCTGGCGGGGGCGATGCGAAGGAGGTAACTCTAGCTCACCGAAGAAATCAACGAGGAAGAAAATGGGGGAGTTTCTAGCGGGGCCAAAGTTTTTATCGATTTCACTCGGTTAGGGAAGGAAATGGGGGAGAGAAAAAAACGACGTGGAGGCAATTTGTGCTTTGGTTTCCCTCTTCAGCCCTTGCGAAACAAAGCGGGGAAAAAAATCAACGGAAACCAAAAATCTGATGTGGAGGAGAAAAAACTGATGTGGAGGCGAAGAAATAGTTTTCCAAGGGGTTTTAAAGTGAACCAAACAGCCCCTAAACCCAAGCATTATTAGTTGTATCTTTAAGCCCAATTCACTTTTTGTATTTGTCTTTAAACCCAATCTCTAAAATACAATACTTTCAGTAGTTGTATTTATACATAATTAAGGTAAAAACCCCAAAAGACCCTTTTCATTGCCAAATATAAATCAGTTTCTCTCTTATCATTTTCCCCTTTCTCTCTCAGCCCTAAATTAAAAAAACGACCACGAACTACCGCCATGTCGCCCATCGCCCGTCGCCGTGTCGACCACGAACTGCCATCAACCACGAATTGTCGTTGTTGTCCACCACGAACTGTTGTCGCCCATCCCAATCATCATCGCCGTCAAAACAGATCTCGCCCGCCCTAGTCGTTGCCAGCCGCCGTCGATCTCGTTGTTGCTCGGACGCCCGTCCCAGTCATCAGCCGCTGCTCCTTCACGGAAATCAATTGGTAAAAGATTTGGCTATGAAACTGATGAATATAAGGGCAATAAATAAGTATTTGGGCCAATTATGAATACAATGCTTATCCGAATAGGGAATACTTCAATTGCTGAGAATTATTTGACACCCTAAATTGCATTTTTTGCCTCATATAAAAAATAACAACAAATACTCAAAACCTCTATTTTGTTTTCAGTCTTTGAAATTTGTTTTAATAAAGGAATTATGTATAATATTGATAGACAACTAAAGTTGCCTTATGTTTTATGGTTGCGGAAAATTCTATCTCATGGCTTTATTACGAATTTCATCCAACATTTTGAATTCTATCTCATAAGTGTAATGTTCATTGAACCGTTTATATTCAGTCTATTGTTCTTTTGATCTGCTTATATTTTGATTTTAGAATATCAACGTGATCCTCAAAACAAAATCCCTGGATGCTAGATGTCAAATGTGGTATCCAATATTTTTGTTTGTATAAATATATGTTTGGAAATTGATTTATAAATTGTTGTCTCAGTATGAAACTTGTGGGGCTGCTGTTGGAATTGATTATGCAAAGTATTGTCTCAGTGTTGATGCATCCAGTTTCTTCTCCCTTGATGGAGCACTCATTTATTTTGTTTCGTATAAATATATGTTTGGAAATATATTTTAATTCCAAGGTTTTTGTCTTGTAAGCTAAAATTTCAAAGGTTTGTAAGCTACATTTCAGGTTATAGCATGAAACCTGTAAGTATATGACGTTATCCTGTAAGTATAGTGTGTTATCCTATAAGTATAGCACGTATCCCGTAAGTATAACATGTTATCTTATAAGTATAGCACATTGACCAAAAGTATAGCATGTTATCCTATAAGTATAATACGTTATCCAGTAAGTATAACACGTTATCCTGTAAGTATAGCACGTTATCCAGTATGTATAGCACTTTATCCTGTAAGTATAGCATATTATCCTGTAAGTATAACACGTTATCCTGTAAGTATATCACGTCATCTTGTAAGTATAACACGTTGACCAAAAGTATAGCATATTATCCTGTAAGTATAACATGTTATCCTGTAAGTATAGCACATTATCCTGTAAGTATAGCACTTTATCCAATAAGTATAGCACGTTGATAAAAAATATAGCACGTTATCCTGTAAGTATAGCACGTTGACCAAAAGTATATCACACTATCCTGTAAGTATAGCATGTTATCCAGTAAGTATAGCACGTTATCCTGTAAGTATAGCACGTTATTCTGTAAGTATAACATGAATTCATAAAAATTATTAAAATTTGTTACTTTTGTTAAAATGTTAGTTAAATGATGTTGTGTAATTAACCACCAATTAATTTCACATTAGTTATTTCACATTAGTTATTTCACACTAATTTCTCATTATTATTCACGAATTCATAAAAATTAGTTAAATTTATTATAATTGATGAAATTTTAGTTAAATTTGATTTTAGTATAGAATGATAACTGTAAGTATATTATGAAATACATTACTTATAAGTATAACAAGTTATCCTATAAGTATAGCACCAAACCCTTTAAGTATAGCACGTTATTCTGTAAGTATAGCATGAAACCCTATAAGTATAGCACAGAACTCTGTAAGTATAGCACGTTATCTTGTAAGTATAGCACGTAAATGATCATATATTTATGACAAGCTCCAGGCTTTTCAAAATGTTACAAATCTTCAAAACAAAATCAAAAAGATACATATTAACAAAACAAAAAGATCCGTTGCCTTGTAAATGATACATATTAGCAAAACAAAAAAGATTCATGGCCTCGTAATTTTGTTAATCTAATTGGAAAAAACACTCCAAATAATATAATAATAAAACAAATATAACAAGAAACACGATCGGTCGCTCGCAATGAGAGGAATCTCTGCGACCACAGCTTCATTAATAAAATAAAAAGGCAGTTGATATCTAATCAGAGATCTTGCTAGTGGACTTGATGGACTCCCAGACGCTGACGATGTGAGGCCAAGCCCCGCGAGCGAGCAGCGGTGATGATTGCGCCGGAAGCGACGCCGATGGAGAACGACTGAGTGAGCTCAGACTTGGAGTCGAGCTTCGTGTCGAGGGCGGTGAGGCGGCGGTCGACGGCAGACAGCGACGGGCAACAGCGACGACGGCAGGCGACAGCAACGACAACAGTCACGAGAAGGGGGATTTTTGTTTTTTTAAATTAGGGCATAGTTGAAAAGGGCGGAAGAAGATGAGAGAGAGAGAGAGAAAGAGAGGGACCGATTTAAGTTGGGTGTTGAAAGGGGTATTTTGGGTTTTTTGTTATGTTAGTGTATAAATACAAGTGTTGTATATACTGTATTTTGAAATTAGATTTAAAGGTAAAGACAAAAAGACAATTGGGTTTAGGAATAAAAAAATAGTGATTATGTTTATAGATAAAGATGAGTAAACAAATGGGCCTAGAAATAAAAACCCTTTTTTTAATGATAAAATCTCAAGGTTAAAGATTGATTTCTAATAAGAGCACGAAGTTAGAGGGGACCTAAACTTAAGAGATTTTTTCTGATAGTCCGAAAGCTTTTGGGGCTACGCAATAACTGTTCAAATGCATGCAGTTTAAGCCGTTAAGGGGGTGTTTGTTTCAAAAATTTTTGGTATTTGGGTTGGATTTCAAATTTAAAACAAGGAAAAATTGCTTCAAGACCCCAAATTTATATTTTCAATATGCTCTAGCCTCCCAACTTTCAAACATGTGCTGCAGCCCCACCTTTTTGAAAAAATTATTAAAAGCCCATCTCCCCAAGTTCCTATGCAAACTTTATACACAATCCCCATTTTACCCTCCCCTACACACCCCTCCTCCTCCTCCGTTCCCCCTCTGCCTCCGCCCCGCCTCCCTCCCCTCCCCCTACACCTCCTCCCCCCCCCCGCCTCCCCTCCCCCGCATACACCTCCGCCCTCGCCTTCCCTCCCCGCGCACACCCGCCGCGCTCCCGCCTACAGGTCCCTCCTCATCCTCACCGCCCCCCTCCCACGCTGCACCTCCCTCGCCTCCTCCCGTCTCCTCCCCGATGCACCTCCCTCCTCCTCCTTCGTCCCCTTTGCCCCCTTCCCCGCTCCGTCGCCCAGCAGCGTCCGAGGAACTTCACGTGGGCACATTAATGTTAACTCTTTTTCTGTAACATGTTAACTCTTTTCTGTAACATGTTAACTCTTTTCTATTAACTGTTAACTCTTTTCTGTAACATGTTAACTCTTACAGGTAACATGTTAGCTGTAAGAGTTAACATGTTAGCTGTTAGAGTTAACATGTTAGCTGTAAGAGTTAACATGTTAGCTGTAGAATTAACATGTTATCTGTAAGAGTTAACATATTACAGAAAAAAGTTAACATTTTACAGAAAAGAGTAACATGTTACAGAAAGAGTTAACATTTTACAGAAAAAGAGTTAACATCCACTGACATAAGAAAGATGAGGGTAAATTCGGATTTAAATCAGCTGATATGTCTAATCATGAGCTGACATGTCTAATCAAGTGCTGAAATGAGCTGGATCATGATAGGAGGGGCTTGGCCATATTTTTTTCAAAAAGGAGAGGCTAAAGAACATTAAAAAAAGTAGGAGGGGTTAGAACATATTAAAAATATAAATTTGGCCGTAGAAGCAATTTTTCCTTAAAACAAGCACCCCCCTGAGCCAATATTTTTCCGGCATAGGCCATAGAGTCGAGAGCAATGGCCCTCCGATCTCTCCGCCGCCACCACCCCTCCCCCTCCTCGCCTCCGTCATCTCTCCTCCGACGCCACCCTCAACTCCTCTGCCGCGTCCTCAGCGACCACCGCTCCCCGACCTCCGACCTCTCCATCCGCTGCTATTCACGCAACTCTCCATGGTCTTTCCGATATGGCGACGACTCCCACCTCCCACCGCCTCTTTTCTCTTCGCCTTCCTCCCTCCTGACTTCTCCCTCCTCTCCCGCCGCCTCCTCCTCCACCTTCCTCGCTTCCTTCCCGCCTACTTCCACTTCCCCCAGGCCTGGGCCCACCTCGCCGACACCCACCAGCACCAAAAGTCCCAGCTTTCCTCCGACCTCTTTCACATATTCTTCTTCGCTTATTCCAAAGCCAACCTTGCCGCCGACGCTATACGAGCTTTCAACCGAATGCACGGCTTCGGTTTGCAGGCTAACGCCGACGACCTCAACATCCTGCTCTACGCGCTGTGCAAATACGGTCACGTGACCGATGCGCGCGAGTTGTTTCACAGGGTTAGGTCGGATTTCAGCATAACCCAGAAGACGTATAGCATTTTGATGCAGGGCTGTGCGAGGAAAGGGAAGCCCAAGGAGGCGGTTCAAATGTTTGACGAAATGCACCAACGAGGGTGTGAAGTTGATGTCGCAGCTTATAACGCTTTGCTGGCTGCTTTGTGTAATGGAGGGGAGATGGAGGAGGCGGAGAGGCGGTTGAAGGAGATGAGGACGGTGCACGGGCTCGATCCGGATGCGGGTACGTACGCAGTTTTCGTTCGTGCATACTGTGAAGCCGGAGACTCGAGCTCTGCACTTAGAATGCTTGAAAACACGAAGAGGAAGGGTTTGGTGCCAAATGTGTTCACTTATAATTGCGCAATTAGATTGTTATGTGAGAAAGAAGAGAAAGCGGAGGAAGCATACGAGTTGCTCGACGAAATGCTTGACAGAGGACTAGAACCGGATGTCTGGAGCTACAACAGGATTCTAGCGTTTCACTGTAAACTCCGTGAGGCGAATAAAGCCACGAAGCTGCTAAAGAGAATGGATGAGGCTGGTTGCTTGCCTGATCGGCACACGTACAATATGTTAATCAAGATGTTGATTGGAGTTGGGAGGATTGATAGAGCCATGGAGGTTTGGGATGGAATGGAGGGGAGAGGGTTTTTCCCTTCGGCATGTAGTTATGCGGTGATGATACATGGATTGTGTAGGAAGAAAGGGAGAGTGGAGGACGCGTGTCGGTATCTTGAGGCAATGGTTGATGAGGGGGTCCCCCCGTATGACAGTACTTGTGTGTTGTTGAGGAGTGAATTGTTGAGGGTTGGGTTGAGGGAGAGGGTCGAGGTGGTTGTTGATAGGATGAGGAGGAGCTCTTCGTGTAAGATTCAAGAGCTTTCAAGGGTTATGGAGACGGGGAAGGGGATTGAGAAGGAAGAAAAGGCTATTTATTGCGGAAATAAAAGAATCTCCGAATGACATGATCATGATTAACTTAAGGGAGGAGATAACTTTAAACAGAACTGATAGTAGAATAGAACTTATGTAGCCGATTCCAAAATTTTAAGATTAATGGTTTTGTTACTCTTTTGTTGTTTTTGTTGGTAACGAGGAACTTTGATTGGTGTGTGGCCTCCCTCAGGTTTGGCTTGAGTTCCAAGTTCCAACCCCAAACAAACCTCCGAGAATATGGCCCCCACCTTGCCCCCTCAGGATCTCAGGTTAGTAGACGGGGATTCGAACCCTGGCAGTCGAGCTGAGTGGCAGGAAAAATTCCTACCATCTGGGCGCCCCCAGTGTGGGTATTATTGTTGTTGTACAGGAAGCTTGGTTTTGTTGTATTCTTGTTGTAATGAATGAGCATAAGCTGGGCATGCAATTTGAAATGTGAAGCACCCCTCTTTGTCACCGTTTGATGTAGTCTATTTATTTCAGAGTGAGGAAGAACGCTTGAAGAATCTACTTCTTTGTTATAAATTTGTCCACAAACTGTCATGATAAATTGGCTAATGCATTAAGTTGTTTCGTACTTTCGGAAATGCATTCTTTGGTTTCAATATTGCTTGGCTATTAGTTTAAGCAGTAACAGCATAATCTTTAGTTTAAATGTTCCCTGCAGATGAAAAACATGCAAAGTATTTTGAAGCAGAAAATGTTTTCCGAGTTGGGAGTAGAAATATTTCTTCCTGTCAAAGGTTCCTGCCACAATATCAAACCTCAGAAGTTGTTGAGTACCCTGAATGACTTGATCGTGGTGTGCCTGAAGATACCAAGGCTGTTGAGGAAATTCTAAAAAGGATGTATCATACCCTAATGTTATTGGCAAACCTGTGGATACCAAATAGGTATGCATGATGTTAGTGAAGCTGTTCTGGATATTCTGAGATTCTGAGAACAAACAGGCATTAGAGGGTTCACTAAATGTAAAAACAACATCAACGAGAAGAAATGCCAATTTGAAAACCCAAAGCAATTACTGAACCTGTAGATGTATTTCGTATCTATTTCGAGTTTCTAGAGTAGTTTGAAATTCTCATGCTACCGTATTTTGCAGTATGGAGTGAGAATCCAATCAAACATTAATGCTTGCTGAATTTTGAATACTGAAACACTTTGTTGCATTTACTTGTCTTTTATAACGATTCTTTGAACTGTGGCTCAATATTTCTGAGGAACAATTCCTATTTGGCTATACTGCAATTGTTGATGAATTGGAAGCCCTCATCACAAGGTCTGAGCTGCCAGGGTTATTTATTTATTTTCTTACACACAAAAAATTTGAAATTAGTGAATGACAGGATAATCCCACCCCTGAAAGCATTATTTTCCACCTACAACGTAAAGGAAAAGAAACCTAGGGTAGAAACTCAAAACAACTAATGAAATTTTTCCAGGAAGTCATTCCTCATGACTGTACTAATCTAGAAAATCTTTGCTGTTACGTTGGCTTATCCTCTAAGAACAGTTTTCTCTTCGACCTTATGATTAAAGCCGAAGCTGCAATGCCCAAAAGTTAGTTGCTAATCATCAATCAATACTATACTAATAAAGTAAAAAAAAATTTGGTTGCAAATTTTTGCCACTTTACAAATTCTAAGAGCTCTAACATTTAATAACTAGTAATTCTTTTTGACTCATTCTTTTTTCACTATCTTATCTTAGTCCACTATCATCCACATCTTGGAAATTCCTATTCTTCATCTTTTAATTTTCTATGAATCATTCTTTTTGTTCTCTATTTCAAAAAGAAAAAAAGAAAATCCTCTCTTTCCATCTAAAGGTCTAATATACATTGTTATAGTCGTCTTAGTGATGAAAAATAATCTCCAATCAATGGTAGATAAGTGTCTCACATTGTGCATAATCAAGTCAGCGTTTCAAGATAATCAAGGACCCAATTCGGTCGACTCGAACACGCCGACATCTTACGAGGATGACTCGATAGGTGTCACGTGTTGACGACCCGAAAGCCGTTTAAGTGTTGTCCTCTTACTGAGTTGACTGCTTAATCACTCCACTCGGCCGACTAATCGGCCGACACCTTGCGAGGGCGACTCAAAATATGGTACTTCTTGACCATCGGACAAGTAGAAAGGCGATGAAATGCCTCCAGCATCAAGCCCCCTCCTGTGCACTGGCGACCAATTACCATACAATAAATGCCATTAAATGTATTATGGGCGCCATCACTCTTCTGCATCCAATAGTCTTTATGACACATCGGATCATGTCGGCACTGCACACCCCTAATCACTTCGCATTAAATACCGAAATAACCTCTCCTCCACTCGTCGGCCGACACCTGTAAAGCAGAGGCTGACGTGGGTTGGAGTTACCATTCTATCATCACTATAAATAGGGGTACTATTTTCAACAAGAAGATAAGTTCTTGACTACTACTCACCGTGTTTAACTGCAGTTCATTTTACTTCTCCACTCAAGCAAATCACTGACTTGATCATTGGAGGAACAACCGGAGAACCCAACTCTGTCATCTTACGATTTGCTACTTGTGCATTGAAGAGCAACGTACTTCAGAACCAGACATTCAGAGCGTTAGAGGACATCCGCCAACTTAATCAATTCCTCCATTTGACTGTTTGATATCAAACATCAATCGTTTGGCGTCCACTGTGGGGCCTTCTTTCTTCTCCGAACAATCATGCTTGATTCTGAGCATATGTCTGATCAGTTCATCCCAGGAAAGTCACATCCAACCTATGTCATGCAAGCTCGGCTTAAAGAATCCACCCAACAGATCACTCAAGCCTTCTAGCAGCTGTTTGCTATTTTCATCGCCGAAGTCCTCTATCGGATCCATACTCCGCAGCCCACTCACTCCGTTGCTCCTCCACCATCAAGGGGCCAACATTTGGTGACTCATCCTCCAACAGGAGTCCAACTAAAGGCTCCTCTGCCTCTGCATGCTGCCCATACCGGAGAACATAGAAGCCATGACGAGCACACATCTCCTTCTCCACGCCAGCCGACTCGCTGAGCAGATCCTCACTAGCGCCACCCTCTATACATGGAAGTGACTGGGGAAGTCCCAACCCTTGTTGTGACAAAAGGGAGCATACCACCATGGGAGCCCAATGAGATCCTCGGTATTATCACGCCACTCTAGACCCCTCAGCTACCTACATGGCCTCCGGTTATGATCGGACTTGCCGACCAATAGTCGAAGCCATTGGGAAGAACACTCCTCTCACCAATGACATCATGAATGCCACCTGTAAGAAATTTAAGATGCCCCAAGTAGAGAACTACAAGGGCGAGGGAGACCCTACGGAGCATGTCCAAAATTACTATGACATGATGAGCATGTTGCATGTGCCCGAAGCCGCTATATGCAGGTGCTTTTCTATCACCTTATCGGGAAGCGCCAAACTCTGGTGGAACTCCTTGGAGAAGAAGTCCATCGGTAGCTTTGGGCAGCTCAGCCAGAAGTTTGTGCACCACTTCTTGACTGACACCAAGCAGAAGTTACCTGCTCATGTGCTCATATAGATAAGGCAGGAGCCCAGAGAGAGAGAGAGA